TTAGTATTTTATAACAGGCAGCCAGCATGGTGTTTTGCACATGGTAAAACTCAATAAGTAGCTGGTGAATAAATAATGGGGGGAAAATGTAATAGTCTATCATTGTTTCATTCAAATCACAGCTCCATGTGCCTTTCATTGTCCAAAAAAACAATGTAAGTAAATGCCAGGAAACTAATGAGTGCCTTTCATATACGGAAAAAAATCAGTGCTCGTTTGGCAAGGGAACAAGGAGCAGTAGCACAAAATTTTAAGTAAAACTTCAAAACGTACTTCCTTATCACTTTTCCTTTCCTGTATTGAGGCCATCTCATTTTCCAATCGTTGGATTTCATCCTTCACTCGTCCCAATTCTCTTTCAGCAATGGCCTTAAAATGTTCTTCACTTTCAATCTCATGCTCCCTTGCTTTGTAAAGAGACTACAGAATAATACACATGATAAAAACACTTAAATTCTACTATTATAAAATATTTATAATAATCCATTAGACAAAAAAAATCCCACAAAACGCTTAGATTAAGTACTATTAATTCCACTACTCTGAAATCTATACCACAGTTGGCTGTAATTACAGTGTAGCCGGTATTGCTCACTAGCTGTACAAAAGATAGTCAATGGATTGTGCTAGGAGAAAATACTGTCAGCAGTTTTCTGATATTACGTTGATCCAGAAAAACTAAAGAAAACCAAAGTTTATATGGTGAGACTTAAAAACTATAATTCATTCCTTATCTACAAATAAGAAATACCAACTAAAAACTAATTGGAAAGAGGATTTTTATATAAATTGATCACATATTCTAATTAACAGAGATAATTTTTTTTAATTATATAAAACTGGTGGTTGTAAATATTTCCAAGAATATATTAGTATACAATCATGCCTTTGCATTGTTTTATTTAATAAAAGAGTATTTGTTGACTACTGATCTCGTCGAGCTTCAAACTTATCACTCTCAGTATTAATTTCACAGCATTAAAGCTGCTAACATTGCAGGAGGTTTATTGTCTTTTGTCTCTTTTATACCATTTAATCAAGGTTTGATTGTAATAAGCTATACCTACAGACTTTGTCTTTCAAATCCCTAACTCAGTAGTTTAATAGCTTGGGGAAAAACGTTGTTCCAAATAGTTTATCAATTACTCAATCAGATCAGGATTCAAGAATCCTGAGTATTGTTTTTAAAAGTTCATTAAGGTTGTAACTTTCTAATAGGACTTCTAAGTCATGAAACACTTACTTACCTGTATTGATTGTAAATTGCTTTTAAAAACATGGCTTTGTTCATTTCTAAGAATTACATACTTTTTCTCAGAATGGTAGACGTACTTTAAAAAAAAATAGTTTGAGATGGAAGTTAATAAACTCTCCAGTACTGAATTGCCAAATTACCTGGTTTGCTGAGCATCGTCAGGAAGTGAGTTTCTATACCAGAATAGATCATTCATAAAAGAGAAGCTTACTCAATCTCTCCCAGTTTTAATTTTTATCACATTTGTGTTAATATTTCTAAAATGCATTACATCTTCCCCATGTATCTTAAATAACGTCTCCTATATCTTTATTATTTATTTAACATTATCTCAGGATTATCATTACAAATTTCAGTTCTTGAACTATGCTAAAATACCATGATGCCCTCGGGGCTACTGAAATATGTATATTATTAGCCTCCACTCGAAATGGCCCCAATGGGTTGTGCTGAAAAATTAAAAGGAGACAGAAACTCTATTATGTATTATGATAGCTCTGTTTCTGCTTATAGCCATTTGTCACTGCCATCAGGGTATCTGTTTATAATCTGCTGCCTAATATTATATTAGATTGTTTGAATAATGATTTCTCCTTTCATATGAATTAATATTTATTTAAATTGGTAGAAGTACAGTTGACCCTTGAACAACTGGGGCTTAAGGGATGCCAACCCTTCTCCCGCCCCTCTCCCCACAGCAGAAAATCCTAGTATAACTTTTGACTCCCCCAAAACTTAACTACTTAACTACTAATAGCTGACTGTTAGGCAAGCTACTTAACTGGTAAGTTATGTCATGCATTCATAACCTACTTAACCAAAAATATTCCAATATATTTATTGAAAAAAATTTGTGTGTAAGTGAACTCACACAATTCAAACCCTGTTGTTCAAGAATTAACTGTAATTATTTCCTCAAAACCTTTTTTTTAAAATCTAATTTCAGGTTAAAGGTAAAGTTCACAATGCTTTAATTATACTAAAGTTACCTATTTTATCTATAAAATAAAATCACAGATATAACGCACTGTGCAATTTTCCATGACTACCCATGATATAATCAATATAAATTTCAGTATTATTGTACCTGTGTAAATGAAAACTCTTGCTTAACATTCTTGAAGTGAGAAGTCATAGCATTAATTCGATCTTCATAGTCACGTAGCTGATCTTGCAAGCTTGATCTTTCACGCTGCATCTTTGACAACTGTAAATAATAAATGTTATGATTAACCAAAGTCCTATTAAGTTTTACCATATTGAAAGACCTAAGATCAAAAGAAAATCAAAACTTGATTTACTCTGTGTCTTAGTCAGTTTGGGTTGCTATAACAAAAATACCACAGACTACGTGCTTAAACAGTAGGCTTGGAATTCTAAGATCAAGGTGCTTGCTGAATTGGTTCGTGCTGAAGGCCCTCTTCCGGGTTTGCAGACAAATGCCTTTTTGCTGTATCCTCACAGGGCAGAGACAGAGATCATCTCTCTCTTGTCTCCTCTTATAAGACAGCTAGTACCATTCATAAGGGCTCCCTGCCCCCCCATAACCTAATTACTTCCCAAAGGTTCCACCTCCAAATACCATCACATTGGAGATTAGGACTGCACCATATGAATTTGGGGAGGACACAAAGTGCTATTCAGTACATAGCACTTTGCTTCTTTATTTTTTTTATTTATTTTTTTTTNTGTAAAGAGAAAAGTCAGAATTTGGAAAGGGCTTTCAAACCAAGTAACTAAAAACTAAAAAGAAGAGAAAGAAATAGTTTTAAGTAGTTTAATTTTAGAGTCGTGAGGCTGACAAATTAATATAAAAGGTAAAACTTTTAAATAAAATTCAAAATTAAAAGTGACTTTGTTAATGTGGATGTCAAAAATGTAGCACTTACATATAAATTGTGGTTAGTATTTTATAACAGGCAGCCAGCATGGTGTTTTGCACATGGTAAAACTCAATAAGTAG